CTGTAAGCAGCTACCACATGTGAACACCAGTGGCTGCCTGATCACACAGCCATATGCATGTCCTTCAGACACGCAGCAGATATGATTCTGTCAGGCATGGCTTGTTTCTTGTTGCCATTGTTTTTCACTGACGATGCCTCAATATATCTATTACTTCTGTGTATTAGAACACTTGGGACAGTCTCCATAAAGACAGTGCTCCTATACTTGGTTTAAAGTACACCTCCAGTACCTTCTGTAAAACCAACTTGTAATAGTAGAAACAGAGCATAACCTTACACAGGACAAAGCCACTAATTTGTATGTTGTTAGCCTCTGTTTGGGAATCAAGCACTTACACATCAAGTATACATTATACATTCTATTGGTATTGCAAAACTTGAAGCAATTTTAAGTATCTCAGACTAGAAGTTTCTTTCATACCAGCTCTTGCCCGTCTGCATCTAGAACTCCAAATAGAAGAAATTTATCATGAGCGTATACCAATGCTTAATTATTTATACATTAGTTTAAAACTGATCTTTATTCAGGGACTTTATGCATTGTTTTTTAGATCAAATTGCTTGCAATAAGTATTAATTACATATTTGATGTAATGTACTTGAGACAATTCAGACTGAATCTTCTGAATAACCACTTTTTCTGTGGGCCAGTAACAACTTTCAGAAGAGAGAGTTAAGAGAACATTATCCTCTTCCTAAAGGTGTAGCACAGTTCAATTTTGTATTTTATAAAGTGTTTATAACCTTTACTGGCTAATTTAAATAGTCATCTGCCAAGCAAGACTACTAGTATTAGGAATCCCATATTATTTCAGTTATTCTTTTTCACCCAATATCTTGTAGTTATTGGAGGCTTTATGTACTGCTCCACTTTCTGTCTTCAGTGGGAACATTCAGGCATGACCAGAGCACCACACCTTAAATTGTGTTCTGAGTTCACAGTCAAGCACCAATTATGCCAATCTTCTTTGTACTTATCTCCTATAAAAAAAGCATATTTTTCCCAGGAAACATTCATACAGAAGTAGGAGAAATCTAAAAATTCTGAGACTTCCTGTTTTCTCAGTGACAAGGAATATAGCTCCATAATGCTGCTGAGCCCATCAAGTAAATTAAGGATAGCAGATTGCATTCAAAAGGCCTTTAAGAGCCACCTGCTTTCTGAAAAATTTGGATGAAAAAATGTGTACACGTATAGAAATATACTAGCTTTCTTTTTATCCCCCTCCTATGATGACAAAGTGATACACACTGAACCAATGGATATCAAATTATTATTAATTACTGATTCCAGCCACCTACTGTGAACTGGATGCATGAATAATAAAAACAAAACAATGCAATTTCCTCTGAGTACTCAACAGTTCTGATAGCCAGTGCTCCAGTATGATAATACTGCCTAATCTAGGATCTTAATTTTTAAGATTTTTTTAAAAAGAAACCACAAAACATCAACAAATCTAGACTTGGAAAAAACCTCCTTATGTATAACACTCGCCAATAATAAGGCCTTTAATCGAAATGCACTTGTCACAGACTACAAAATATATGTAGTAGTAGCGTTTACAGAGGCCATGCATGCAAACAGTTCCACTGGTTTTAATAAGAAGTGCCCATAAAGTGATTGCAATATGCTTACCACATTCAAGATCGCAGGACTGCCCTTAATATAGTTTTGCATACAGTGAAATCAAAATCAATTAGCTGACTCCCAGGTATAAAAAGGAAATTTTATAATACAGTTTCTATAATGTAGTGAAAGTTATCAAACAGGCACTACGTAACTAGAGACAAACAGAGGAAAGGGGAGGGGAAAGCAAAGAAGAAAACAAACTGCGCAGTGAGACAGACTGTGAACCACTGATGTTGTTTGCGTATGTACAGAGTAACCATGTGTAATTGGAGCTGTCAGGTGAACAAAAAGTGTGTTTACAATACTGCACCACCAGTAAGCTACCCAGAGCATATATTACTGTGTGTTAGTTATACCAGAAGCACTCTGTACAAATGTGAAATCCAACCTTTTATACTTCTGTTTCTCTTCATCTCCTTAAAAATGAAAGAATAGGCTGTCTTCCAAATGCTTCTACAATCATTTTCAGGTCAAAAAAGAATGCGAGTTGGATTAGGACAAAAAAAAGAAAAAAAGCAGCTATCACTGAATAGGCCACCAAATTAGAAGAGCAGTATTTAAAAGCTCTTGATTTCCAGGACAGCGTCTTTGAAAAGATGCCACCTGTGGAACCTTTTGCACAGCCTTAAAAGTGATCATCACTGTACTGTACTAGGGAAACATTTGCAGCTCTACCCTCTGCTAGAGACACACAGCTGTGTTAACTAAGGTTCAGAGAAAAATGTCCAGTTTACAATCTGCCTTTCTTGAACATTTGATTTTGTGACCCTGTGTCTGCAATTATATAGTGCATCTAGAACAGACACTTTACAATAAATTAAAAAGGATTACTACAGCAATGTACACACACTATGCAATACTTGCATTGTCTGACTTCCTTGCCTTTTACATGACTAGCTTTCCTCTCTCTGATTCACATAGAAGAGCACAATGAAAGAAGTATGTACTCACTCTGCTTTTCATTCTCTCATTGAGAAAACAAAATGTTCTGGCTTTAGCAATAATGTGTCAAAAGAATGAAGTCATTCTGCACAGCTATAAAGACTAAGGGGTAGTTTGTGTGTAAGAAGACATAACAGACTTTAAAAGCAATAAGGGGGTATTGCACAGAATCCATTTTCAGAGCTGAAAATATGTACATTTTCAGTTCATTTACCTTTTTTTTTTTTTTTCATTTCTCATTGTTTCCTCCTAAGGAAATTAGTATTTTGAAACAGACAAGTCTTTAAACCTACAGGAACAAAATAGCTTCCATATTTAACTATTCCAAATAGCAGCTTCTTTTAAATTAGGAATGCTCAAAAAAATCACTATTACTTCTAAAACTGAAAATAGAAAAAATCTGATACTGGCCAAGAAGCAGAATAAAAATTCTTTTTTTTTTTTTTCCTCTCCATTTTATTTGTCTGTTTGGG